AAAGCATAAAGAAAAAATATGTTTAACAACATAAATTGTTGACATATTTTTGTTGCTGATACGAGAGTAAACTTTTCCATGCGTCTTCTCTTTCTCTTGTTTTTGATTTTTTATTTTATTTGCTTTTCTTTTACTTATTTATTTATTTATTATATATATATATATGTATGTGCATATTCTTTTTTTTTTTGTTTTTTTTTTTTTTTTTTTTTTTTGATCGTAAACACTCGTCTTGGGTACACCCAAACCAAAATAAAGTTTATTTTCTTAAGGGTTGAAAGTTCAGTTTTCTTAGCCAATCCTGGTTAGTATTCGTTCGACAAACACCATTCCATAGTAATTACTTTACAACAGGCATTATAGATAAGAGTTAAGAGAAACTTTGCTATGGCGTTGCTAATAAAGCAGTCAAGTGAGTGTGTCTTGTTGAGTGAGTGAGTGCCTTAACTTGGGCATATTTGAAAATGAATTTTTCAAATTCTTTATATTAAGATAATCCCAAGGAAATTTTTCGCATATTTGCTGTTAGACTTTTATTTTTGAATTGTTTTTGCCTCCCCTTCTCCCCTGCTCTCCATACTATTTTCCTTTCTTTTTTGTTTGTTATCCTTGTTGTTGTTGTTGTTTTTCTTAAATACATACTTAAGCACATAACTCGTACATGTGATTACATTGAATGCTGCAACAAGAGCAGTTGTTGTTGTTGTTGTTGTTGTTGTTGTTGCTTATTTTAATTTAAGTAAAATTGTTTCAGTTATTCGGTCAGATCACAGTACCGTTATAACGGTTAGCATCAAAGCGTAGAGGGAGGATAGTGCTAGAGGAGAAATTAACACTATTGTGCTTTGCTTTAATCTAAGAAAACGCATTTACTATGTAATTATGTAAAGTGTAAATGCTATGATGATAGGATGAAGTGTTATATGTAAGAAGGTATTTCTTAAGCTATTTAAAAAGCTAAACGAAAAAAAAAAAAAAAAAGATATAATTACGTACCACGTGACCTTGAAGTTCGGCTTCTCTATGAGATCTGTGTATGCCCAGTTGATCCTGGGTCGAACGCAATCCAGCTAATTGATTATAATGATGGAGGGGTGTATGATGTAATGTAGGCAAAGGTTGGCCATAGGGATCCGTCCCCAGGTACTCTAAAGCACCGTGGTTCTGTAAGTATGCAGGCATCTAATCATTATTAGTTATACCGATTTTCAAATCGGATTTAAAAAAAAAAGAAAAGAAAAAATCACAAATTTTACATAGCGAGTATATGTAATCATTACCTGTTGTTGGGGCGGACTTTGCGTTGAATGATGAAACGGTGGCGGAAAGTATGGAGGCTGAAAGTCAGATTGTAATGATTGATGATGCATCGTAGCGGCCGAACCATGTGTGCTGCTGTGACCGCCATGGCCGGCTGCTGGTCCACCCCGACCGGCATGGCTGCCGGTATGCGTGGTATATGCAGAACTGTTACCAGATAGACCCAAACTGCCATGACTAGTTAAACGCTCCTGAAATTAATTAATTTTACAGTAATTTTTTTTTAAATTGATTTATGGCAAAAAGTTTTCTTTTTTCATAACCTAACATTTAAAGAGAAATCGAACGGTGAATGGTGTACGCGTGAATAACAAAATAATGAACCTACAGGAAATATGTTGAAAATGGTCGAAAGTTCTTCTAAAGAAAGAGGTCTTCCATGTTCTTCAAATGACTCTATTCCTGATGCAGATGTTAACCACCCTTTACTTTACTTGCACGCCGAATTTGCTTTGCTTCTTTACCGCGATAAAGTTGAATTTTTTATTCATCGTCGTAAGAGCTGATTAGCTATTTTTTTTGCTCAATTTGCTATACAATGTTCAGATATGCACTGTCGATATCATAAATGCTGAGTACATTGCCAATAAGCATTGGGTATTAAATCAAGGGCTGAACTAGGCGCTAAACATGAAAACAATTTTTTTAAAAATTGTCGCAAGAAGTGTCATCACTGTGGATTTTTCAGATATCGATATTTTTTTTTTTTTTTTTTTGGTTTGATCGATCCTTTAAAACTTCTTGAATATGTGTGAAAAAATTCTTTATCTTTATCTTAAGGTTTTTCTTCTTTTTTTTTTTTTGGAATTCTTATGTTTTGAAAAAAATCCCTTGTGCGAAGGTACATCCTAAAGTATTGCCTGTTGACTTGGGGGGGGGGGGGGGGGGGGGGGGGGGGGGGGGGGGGGGGGG